AAATATTTGATTCAATTTGATTCAATTCGATCAAATTCAAATTGATTTAAATTGATTTGATCAAATATTTGAGTTCATTTTGATTTGATTTAATTTGATTTGAAAAAATCAAACAAATTCAAATTACTTAAATATTTGATTTGATTTGATTTTGAAGAACCCTAATTGATAATAATATTTTTTTATTATATATGCTAATAAAAACTAACATTTTATACATTTACTTATAACAATTAACATTAGAATACTATATAATACTTATCATTTAATATTAACACAATTTTTTTCATGTGACCACGTGACTTATCCGGATCACAGACGTGACACCGCCGATCACCTGGTCACGTGATCGAACATGGCTTTAGACAACCCCCAATTTTGGTAAAATCCCAGACTGTATTATATATAGTTAATTATTCCTCTCCTTTTCATTCAATGTTACTTCCGACAATTCCGACGACTCCAACGACTCCAACGACTTTTCTTGCCATAGGTTGTACTGGATTTGGCAAAAGCACAATAGGACAATTGCTCTGTGATGTAGATACAGACGTCAAAGGTGTGGCTTCTTCGACCCTCTGTGAAGCAACTTTATTTGAAAATAAGGATGGCTCCTTCCGATATATTGATACAGCAGGGCTTAACGATTCTGGAGGGTTAACAGATGAGGATACATTTCATAATATCTTACGCCTCTTACAACAACATAGCAAAGACAATATTTTTAATATTCACAAAATCCTATGGTTCTGCGCAGAGAGCGTACGAAAAACGGCAAATTTGCAAAAAGAAGCGAAATTTATCCAACGGTTATCTGACTATATCGATAAAGAAAATGATAGAGCGAAGTTTTGGAAGAATGTTCTAATTGTCACTAAAGGAACTTTTCCTTTAGAAGACCTAAATCAAGGACCGATATCAGCTGCATATGATACAGTGAAAGAATACATGGACGACGATTTTGAAAATATTTTCACGGTTGACCACTTTCCTTGTTGGATCTTCGATTTAAAACCCGGAGATAAAAAATTTTCTAAAATGAATCCAGAAGATCGTATCGAAATGTTTAATGCATACAGTAAAGACGAGATTAAAACCGCATTGCAAAAGTATGTCAACAACGACTCTATAATCAAAATTAAGTTCATAAAAACACGTTGCAAGAAATGTGTCGAAACAGGGGACCCAAGACTTTTCATTGATAAATGTCATCCATTAACACGAGAAAAAAGACACGATATAGAAAACGAGCAATATCATCCAAAACCTGCCGAGTGGCAACACGTAGGTAAACGTATTTATAGACATTGGAATCAAGATGATGAAGTAATCGAAAAACCCAAAGTTGATTCATCAACCGTTGGTGCGGCTACAAGTACGGTTGGTAGTTTAACTGCAGGAGCCTATGCCCTTAATATAGCTGCTGCGGCACAACCAGGAATCTTCTTCGGTGGTGGGGCCATAGCAGGAACCATTGCTCTACCTATTGTTGCTGCAGTAGGTTTAGCGGCCGCTGGTGGTTACTTTGTACACGAAAAAATAGCAGAGAATTATAAATGTCAATTGTGTAACAAGAAATACACCGAGAAAGGATGTATTGAAGAATGTGACCAATGTAATAAGAAATGGGATAATGAGAAAGGTTGTATTTTGAAACATGCGTGTTGCAATAAACCTGAAGAAGAATCGGGGTGTAATTGGCGTGAACGATGTTTGAATTGCGGGGAAACTGACCAAAAGCTGACCACAGATGGTTGTAAGGAGTACTGTCAAAGATGTGAGAAAGAATGGGGTAAATCGGAAGGATGTGAATCAAATGTCCAGCACGATATTGATAGTGATATTGATGACTAAACGATAATTTATAGAAAAAGAAAGGAGATACTCCATTATTTATTAAATTTATTTATTATGTTATTTCGTAGGTTTCCAAACTTGGGTTTGGTACTGAAGCGAAATAAACTTTAATAAAATACTTGTTTCCATTACTCAATGACAACGTCATATGAAGGATTTTAAATTTGTAAACAGTGTCGTATTAATTCCCCAACTCGTGTATAAATTAATCATTATCATTGAGGTGTCGGAATAACAATTTTAGAATTTTTTTTGTAAGCACATGACCATTGTTGATACAATGAGCCAATGAAAAAAATATTTGATCAACGCGTTCCTTTTTTTGTTTTATAATAAAATAAATATGAATTTCTCATTATCAGTAAGAGCAGAACAACAAAACAGACGTTTATCGCGAGGTTATACCTTAAAAAATAATAATGGCTCAACAGGCCTTCTCGGAGTTTCCAGTTCAAATGATTCTTTTATTCTGGATTGCTTTGAAACTCCTTTAATAGGATTAGAAAAATCTTTCAATAGTTTATTAGAGAATTTTGAAAATATTAAAAAAGTTCAAGAATCTTTGAATGAATTTAATAAAGCTTTTTCGGGATTCTTATATGGCATTAAAATGAATGCTCAATGTGTTGAATTTTCCGAAGTATGGCATAAGTTCTTTAAAATTCGTGAACAAATTATTGGACTTTAACATATATTTGTTTATTTTATAGGCTCCAACAAAGGAAGCGATTACCTCTTTCATTAACAGACGTGTAAGCTTACAAACGAAAAATACAACGCCACGAAGGAAAACGCCTACACATCTCTTACAATTAAACAAAAAAATTGAAGAACAAAAAAATCTTGAAAATACTTCAAAATCACAAAAATCCCAAGTTGAAATTCTTGAAACAAAAAATTTTAAAACCCCTACAAAAGTACTACAAAAACCACTTAGAAGAAAAATTAATAAACAAATGGAAACCAAGGTATGATTTATTATCATCATCTTTAAATTATTTGTTAATTGAATTAATACTTTAAATAATTCTAGGCTGTGATTAAGAGGATTGTTGACATTTTACCACAGAAATATCGCGACAAACAGGTAAAATTTTTATTTGGGAATTAAATTCAATATATAATTCGCGTTTTTATCACGTTTTATTTATGTAATTTAGCAAGCAAACCGTGGAAATGTCGAAGCAATCCTTAAACTTTTGTGTTCAAAGCCAAATGATGGATTGTATATGGAAGAGATTATTAAACGTACAAATTTAACCCGATTTAGGTGTTGGGAATATCTTAACGTTTTGGTTAACGGTAATCATGTGATTAAATTTAGTAAGAAAGGCCAAATGTTTAAATTAGATCCTATAAAGTATGCCAATTTTATTCATTTAATGAATCTCTGATCAAAAAAAAATGGGTAAGGTTTCAGCGTGTATTAATTACAACTTTTAAATAAATTTTTGATTTTGAAGCTTTTTTTTTTTTTTATAAAAAAAATATATATATAAAGTTTTTTCTCATAAAAAATTCAATTGATTATAAACGATAAATATAGGTAAAAAAAAAATTTATTATTGAATAAACTAATTCTTAAACCCAATAGTTACAGTTTCTTTACCCAAACTCTCTATCTTAAATGTATCAAAAACTTTGGTAGCATGACACATATATGAAATCATCATTCATTTTCTGAATATTTTTTGCTTTATTGTGAGTATCAATAATACCTATACTGCAAATATCAATAATAGCTATGTTCTTTGCATATTTTACAACCTCTTTATATTTCCCTTTAAAGTTTCAAATCTTACTTTATGCTCTTTCATATCTTTCTTATCTCTCAAAAGTTCTATTGTCTAATTTAACTTGTTCACATAGAAATTTATCTTTTCTATGAACCTATTTCTTATGATAAAAAATGATTCCTTTCTAATACATTTGTACTGATTCTTTTAAATTCCTTTTGTGATGTTTTTTTCAGAATTCTTCCATCAGATTCAAATTCAAGTATATCTTTTAAAACCTTTCCATTTAGTTTATTACATATTACTGTGAAAAATAATACAAATCTGTAGGAGTATTATCTGTATTATTCTAAACTTCATAATTTTGCTGAAAAAATGATTGCTTAAGAAGAGATAATATAAAAGTTAAATTATTATCATTCTTAATAATAGGAATTTCAGATTTGATTAGGTATATCATATCATCATCAGAGACTATATAATGAATACCTTCTTTTAAGTAAATATCTTTACATATTCTTATTTGTAAAATAGAAAGTGCAGAAACTTTTAGGATAGCATGACAGTTAGTATAGATATTTCTGAATTCTAGTACTTAAATATATTTTTCTTAGTTAAGCAATTAGTATTAATTCATTTTTTCATTACATCTGCTGTAGATATTTTAAGTAGATAAATATTACACATATATATAACGCAAATGATCAACCAATCTGATAAATCTAACATATCTGACATCTCTAATATTTCTGACATTTCTAACATGATTGACATATTAGATATAGTTGATAAATTAGATATATTTGTCATATATGATAAATTAGACATATATAATATATCAATTTTATCTTTCTATGTAATGTATTTTATATAAATTGGTAGCTTTTTAGATCATGTAAAAGGCAGAATTTGACAAGTTATTTTCTAGTAATTTTAAGAGTCAAACAGGTCTATTATGTTATACTTTAGTTTAGTGATTTGTAGAGCTCCGAATCAGGTCAGGTCAACCTGTGACCCGACCCGACCCGACCTGAAAAGTCGGGTCGGGTAGACAAATT